CGACCCCCACCCTGTCCAATGAGCTGGCGGCTGGCTATCAGGCCGCGTGTTATTATGGTCTGGCAAGAACATTCCAGGGAGTCCTCCACACTGAGGCACACGCTCGCTCCTTCTGAGGCGGAAACTCGTCTCGTGCCACTTTTGCGCTGGTTTGGCGCGCTGTTCGGGCCCCACCATGATGCCACAGCAGCACCTCCAGACTTTGCCGCTGGATGACGATCCGGAAGATGAGCAGGAATTGGAGGAGATGCCGGCCACGGAGAAGGACCTGGCCGAAGACGCGCCCTGGAAGAAGATCCAGCAGAACACCTTCACCAGGTGGTGCAATGAGCACCTGAAGTGCGTCCACAAGTGCATGCTGGACCTGCAGAAGGACCTGGCGGACGGCCTGAGGCTCATTGCCCTGCTGGAGGTCTTGAGCCAGAAGAACATGTACCGCAAGTACCACGCCAGGCCCAACTTTCGCCAGATGAAGCTGGAGAACGTGTCGGTAGCGCTGGAGTTCCTGGAGCGACAACACATCCGCCTGGTGTCCATCGGTGAGTGTGGAATCTGGGTGTGGGGGGTGTGGGGGAGGGTTAGATGCTCAACCACAAACTCGCTCACACTTTTGATTGACGGCACGTGAAAAGTTCCTTTCAAAGCCTAAGATGAGCTCCCGACGCGGCCTCGCGGAGGTCCGGGCTCTGTTTTTCGGGGCCGTCCTGATTGACAGAGCAACAGCTGAGTTCCGCCGTCCCCCCCGAGCCCCAAACTCAAAATAGAAGCGCTTTGCTCTTTTAGGCTTTACGATACCTCGCGCCATGGCATAACACGTAGATCACAATGTCATTTTCATCCACTCCCAGTCCAAACTGTCGAGAAGATCATTATGGAAAGCCATTTGAGTATTTCTTCCATATCCTTGATACTTAGCACAAGGTCCGGCCACTCCTCGTCCTCACGAGTAAGACCATTCAGCGCCTGAATAGGATGGCCGTGTCTTACTTGAAAACTGTCGTTACACCTTTGACTGACGCGTACGCAATTTAACCTGACGAGTAAACTCGTGTGCTGCCCTGGTCACTCCTGGGCGCGTAGTCGTAGCCTGCCATCACAGCTTCCCATAAAGCACTCTTTGTCCACACCAACAGGACAAATTTGGCAGACATTACTCGAAAGGCAAAATTCGAAAACTTGCAACACACTCGTCGGACAGTCATAGGACAACGACATGAGTGAGGCCAAAACCCGTGCGAGTTGAAATTTAAGAGGACTCCTCGTGTTCCATGTTAATTGGTAGAATTTGACAAGGTCTCGCCAACCACATGAGCGACGGCGTCTTCAGCTGTTCCCTCTCAACAAGTGTGGACGCAATGCACGGCTTTTTTCCTGGACTTTTGTGTCAGCTGTTGTTTTATAGCTGACAGGTGTGTGTGTGTCTAAGAATATGAATGAATGAATAGTTTAATGCCTGAATGATGACGTTCCTGTCACACAAGCATCTTTTGACCCGTGCAGTCATTTGGGTGCATGCTCCACCGTTTTTGGGTCATGGGGGGACGCTCCTTTGGGGTCAGAATCGGGTTGAAACAGTGGCGGGAATGATTCCGTCCTGCGGGGGGCGGCGGGGTGCCAACAAGCCGAACAAATAGTTTCCCTGTGTGCTCATCTGTCCCACTTCCTGCTCGTGGAACACTTTCCCTCCAACGTCACACATGATCTGTGTGTTTGTCCTGTTGCCATGGAGAATGAGCTTTTGTGTGCAACAAAGAAGTCTCTTGAGTGGGCCAAGAAGAAGAATTCTTCAGACTTGCAATGGAGCAAAAAGAAGGGCAAGTCAACAGGAAGTCAGGTGTTCAAATCCTCAATGAAGGGGTGGCAACTTTACCTATGTGGCTATGCTAACGAGGAGCGGTGGGGAAGATCCATCCCTCCATGCCGTAGCCTAGTGGGCGGGGGTGGGGGGGGCCACCCTGAACCTCTTGCTAGCCAATCACAGGGCACACATCGACAAACGATCCGGAAGATGAGCAGGAATTGGAGGAGATGCCGGCCACGGAGAAGGACCTGGCCGAAGACGCGCCCTGGAAGAAGATCCAGCAGAACACCTTCACCAGGTGGTGCAATGAGCACCTGAAGTGCGTCCACAAGTGCATGCTGGACCTGCAGAAGGACCTGGCGGACGGCCTGAGGCTCATTGCCCTGCTGGAGGTCTTGAGCCAGAAGAACATGTACCGCAAGTACCACGCCAGGCCCAACTTTCGCCAGATGAAGCTGGAGAACGTGTCGGTAGCGCTGGAGTTCCTGGAGCGACAACACATCCGCCTGGTGTCCATCGGTGAGTGTGGAATCTGGGTGTGGGGGGTGTGGGGGAGGGTTAGATGCTCAACCACAAACTCGCTCACACTTTTGATTGACGGCACGTGAAAAGTTCCTTTCAAAGCCTAAGATGAGCTCCCGACGCGGCCTCGCGGAGGTCCGGGCTCTGTTTTTCGGGGCCGTCCTGATTGACAGAGCAACAGCTGAGTTCCGCCGTCCCCCCCGAGCCCCAAACTCAAAATAGAAGCGCTTTGCTCTTTTAGGCTTTACGATACCTCGCGCCATGGCATAACACGTAGATCACAATGTCATTTTCATCCACTCCCAGTCCAAACTGTCGAGAAGATCATTATGGAAAGCCATTTGAGTATTTCTTCCATATCCTTGATACTTAGCACAAGGTCCGGCCACTCCTCGTCCTCACGAGTAAGACCATTCAGCGCCTGAATAGGATGGCCGTGTCTTACTTGAAAACTGTCGTTACACCTTTGACTGACGCGTACGCAATTTAACCTGACGAGTAAACTCGTGTGCTGCCCTGGTCACTCCTGGGCGCGTAGTCGTAGCCTGCCATCACAGCTTCCCATAAAGCACTCTTTGTCCACACCAACAGGACAAATTTGGCAGACATTACTCGAAAGGCAAAATTCGAAAACTTGCAACACACTCGTCGGACAGTCATAGGACAACGACATGAGTGAGGCCAAAACCCGTGCGAGTTGAAATTTAAGAGGACTCCTCGTGTTCCATGTTAATTGGTAGAATTTGACAAGGTCTCGCCAACCACATGAGCGACGGCGTCTTCAGCTGTTCCCTCTCAACAAGTGTGGACACAATGCACGGCTTTTTTCCTGGACTTTTGTGTCAGCTGTTGTTTTATAGCTGACAGGTGTGTGTGTGTCTAAGAATATGAATGAATGAATAGTTTAATGCCTGAATGATGACGTTCCTGTCACACAAGCATCTTTTGACCCGTGCAGTCATTTGGGTGCATGCTCCACCGTTTTTGGGTCATGGGGGGACGCTCCTTTGGGGTCAGAATCGGGTTGAAACAGTCTCTGCATGGGGCTGCGGTGATGATTCCGTCCTGCGGGGGGCAGCGGGGTGCCAACAAGCCGAACAAATAGTTTCCCTGTGTGCTCATCTGTCCCACTTCCTGCTCGTGGAACACTTTCCCTCCAACGTCACACATGATCTGTGTGTTTGTCCTGTTGCCATGGAGAATGAGCTTTTGTGTGCAACAAAGAAGTCTCTTGAGTGGGCCAAGAAGAAGAATTCTTCAGACTTGCAATGGAGCAAAAAGAAGGGCAAGTCAACAGGAAGTCAGGTGTTCAAATCCTCAATGAAGGGGTGGCAACTTTACCTATGTGGCTATGCTAACGAGGAGCGGTGGGGAAGATCCATCCCTCCATGCCGTAGCCTAGTGGGCGGGGGTGGGGGGGGCCACCCTGAACCTCTTGCTAGCCAATCACAGGGCACACATCGACAAACAACCATCCACGCTCACAATCACACCTCGGGGACAATTTGGAGTGGTCCTTTCACCTGCCCTGCTAGCTCACCAGACCGTTGGTTGACAAACCCGTGCGTGTCATTTGACCAAGACGGAGCCACTCACTTTTCCGCTACCGGAAGTCATCTGGCACCTTTAGTTCACTAGTATTACGAAATGTTCTCGACGACCGTCCGCTTCTCATGACTCTCACCAGACTCAAAAGCCATCGTGGACGGGAATCTGAAGCTGATCCTCGGTCTGATCTGGACGCTCATCCTGCACTACTCAATCTCCTTACCCATGTGGGAGGACGAGGACGACAAGGACGCCAGGAAGCTGACACCCAAGCAGCGTCTTCTGGGCTGGATCCAGAACAAGGTGCCCCAGATGCCCATCACCAACTTCCACCGCGACTGGAGGGACGGCAAGGCACTGGGTGCCCTGGTGGACAATTGTGCCCCAGGTAAGGCACAGGACACTTTTTGTTCACAGAGCGACCGGAAGTAGATGAGCCCCGATCCTTACGACGAGTATTGTGCCTGTCTTCAGGTCTCTGTCCAGACTGGGAAACTTGGGATCCAGGTCAGCCAGTGGAGAACGCCAGAGAGGCCATGCAACAGGCAGATGACTGGTTGGGCGTTCCTCAGGTAACTTTCCGCATTTCCGTGCTGTCTTTTTGCTTTAATCCAAGGCGTGCGGTCCACCATTTGGAGAAGTTCCTATCTCAGGACCAGGGATTTTGCCACCTATGCAGGTCATCGCTCCAGAAGAGATCGTGGACCCCAACGTGGACGAGCACTCGGTTATGACCTACCTGTCACAGTTTCCCAAAGCCAAACTGAAGCCGGGCGCCCCCTTGAGGGCAAAGACTCTGCATCCCAAGAAGGCCAAAGCCTTTGGGCCCGGTGGGTAGTACGGCAGAACTCGTGACCATGCTGAGTGGTGCGACCTTGTCGTCTGGAGGACATTTTGTTATCCTTTTCAGTTCCGGTCACCCAAAAGTCCCCCGGGGCCTTTTGTTTCCAAACATGGTGAAAGGTCTCCAGTAGAGAAAAATGTTCTTCTCTTCTGGGCTGCAGGCATTGAAGCTCGTGGGAACGTGGTTCTCAAACCAGCAGAATTTCTGGTGGAAACGGTGGAGGCCGGACTGGGCGAGATTCTGGTTTATGTTGAAGACTTGGAGGGGCACACAGAAGAGGTGGGCACAGCAGGTCGACTGGGCTGGTTCAAAAGAAATCAAGGTCAACGGTGTGTGTTTCTTCAGGCCCGAGTGATCCCCAACAATGACAAGAACCGAACCTACTCGGTGGTCTACCTACCCAAAGTGGAGGGTCTCCATAAAGTAAGTTGATCAAGCAACTGCTTCGAGCAACCTGCCCTGCTCATTTGCTTCCTCTCTACCAGGTCAAGGTTCTGTTTGCGGGCCAAGACATTGACGGGAGCCCTTTCATGGTCCATGTCTCCAAAGCGATGGGGGACCCGACCCGGGTGCAGGCTCGCGGCCCGGGACTGCAGAACGCGGGAAACATGGCTACCAAGCCGACCTACTTTGACATCTACACAGCCGGTCTCCATCTGTTCCGTCACACCTCTTAGTGTCCTTGCGCAGGGTCCTCTCAATGCGTGCCCCTTACTTGGCCCACTAGGCGCTGGCGCTGGTGATGTGGGTGTGACCATCGTGGACTCAAATGGGCGCCGGGACACCGTGGAGGTGGTTCTGGAGAACAAAGGGGACAGCATCTTCCGATGCACCTATGTACCCGTGCTGGAGGGGCCGCACACCGTCTACGTCACTTTTGCCGGACAGCAGGTTCCCAGAAGCCCCTTCCCCGTCTTCATTGCCAAAGGTATGACTTTGCACCCTGGCCACAATTGATTCTCGATCACGTGACTTGGTCCCGTGACACTGACGTGACTCGGACTCTTACCGTCTGACTTGGACGCCTGATCGATCATTTGGTCTGGACACACATTTGGTCTGCTCCCTTCATCAGCTCCACAGAGCGTGTCGCTCCCCCCACCGGTGTCTGCCGTGTCTCCGGCGCAGCTTGTGCCTCAGTCAGTATGCGCCCCGCCAAAGAGAGCCCCCCCTCCAACGCCACCTAAACCCAGGCGACCAAGTTAGTAGAGGCGGGAGCCGGACTTATGCCGCCGCCCCTCAGCGAGCGATGAACTGGGCTCGCCCTTGCTGCGTTGCATGCGTCTGTACAGCTATGATCACCTCGCCAGACGTCAGCCAGCGATGGCGAATTGGCATGTCTGGCGGCTTCAGTTGGGCTGTTTCCTTTCTCCCGATTTCTTCACCTCATTAATGTGATCTGCTTCCCCCTCCTCCTCTTCAGATAATGTCATCGTTTCACCTTTTATTGATTGTCATTTCACTTCACCTTTTTATTTCTTCCCTTTACCACGACTAACGCTGCTCCGTGTGTCATGCGAGCTGACGGAAACACAATCTGACATGCGGCCACTTCTGATTGCTCCTTGCAGCCTGCAACCCAAACGCCTGCAGGGCTTTCGGCCGAGGTCTGCAGCCCAAAGGTCTGAGGGTGAAGGAAGTGGCCGAGTTTAAAGTGGACGCCCGAAGCAGCGGAACCGGCGAGCTGCGGGTGGCGGTGAAGGGACCGAGTGAGCATCTTCACCGCACAATGGCAGCTTTGAAGGTGACGCGCGGTTAAGCTTGGACTCCACGTGTTCACTGCAGACGGCCTGGAGAACCCCGTGAAGGTGGTTGAGGTGGACAGCAGCCGCTACGAGTGTAACTACTACCCCATCGTGACAGGAAGTTACATCATCAACATCACTTGGGGTGGTCACAGCATCCCGCGCAGGTGAACCTCAAACAACGTCAACAAGTGGAGAGTGGAGTATTCATTGTTTTGTTTTTGGGGGTGTGGGGGGGATGTCTTCAGTCCCTTTCAAGTCTACGTGAGTGAGGAGGCCGGGCCTCAGAAGGTGCGGGCCTGGGGTCCTGGTCTGGAGACGGGTATGGTGGGAAAGAGTGCCGACTTTGTTGTGGAGGCCATCGGGACGGAGGTGGGAACCCTCGGTATGTCCCCACGCTTCGAAATGTCAAGTTGGAAGAAGGACGCGGCTGAGTGAGAATGACCGTTTTTGGGGTGGTCAGGCTTCTCCATCGAGGGTCCGTCTCAGGCCAAGATAGAGTGCGATGACAAAGGGGACGGCTCGTGTGACGTCAGGTACTGGCCCACTGAAGCCGGCGACTACGCCGTCCACGTCATATGTGACGACGAGGATGTGAAGGACAGCCCCTTCATCGCGCACATCCTGCCTGCTGCGATGGATCTTCACCCAGAAAAGGTGACGCCGGCGAGACCGGAACCAAGATGGAAAGTGGCTCAACACGCTGTTGACTATCCCCCAGGTGAGGTGCTACGGACCGGGCCTCGAACCCGTCGGCTGCATCATCAACAAACCGGCGGATTTCACCATCGACAGCCGAGCCGCCGGCGCCGGCGAGCTCAGGCTCTACGCTCAGGTGAGGACTTGCCCACCACTAAACCCCTCTCGATCATCTTCTCTCTCTCTCTCTCACTCTGTCAAAGAGTCTGAGAGGGCCTCTGTTGTGACCTGGCGCTACTTCAAGCAAAGTGACCTGAGGAGTAATCCGCCATCTCCATCTCCTTTCTCAATGTCCCACGCAGGATGCCGAAGGCTGCCCGATAGACGTGGAGATAAGGGACAATGGCGACGAGACCTTCTTGTGTGTTTACATCCCCACAAAGCCCATCAAGCACACCATCGTCATTACGTGGGCTGAGGTCAACGTTCCCAACAGCCCCTTCAGGGTACCGTGAGCTCCGCCTCTAACCTCTTGCCACAAGCACTCTTACCAAAAAGTGAATTTAAAAGTTTTACACCCCAATAGATCAAGACCTTACAGTATATATCTGTGTCAAGGTCAGGGGGATGGTAAAACAAAAGCCATTCCTGAGTTCGATGTGTTTGTGAGCAGGTGAGCATCGGAGAGGGCAGCCACCCGCAAAATGTGAAGGTTTTCGGTCCCGGCGTGGAGAGAAGCGGACTCAAGGCCAACGAGCCCACCTACTTCACGGTGGACTGTGGCGAGGCGGGACAAGGTGAGACACCACTTGTACATCCTTCTTCCACAGACGGACACCTGGCCACTTGTCCCTCCACTGCCCCCCCCCCGCCAGGTGACGTCAGCATTGGCATCAAGTGCGCGCCTGGTGTGGTCGGACCAGCCGAGGCCGGCATCGACTTCGATATCATCAAAAATGACAACGACACGTTCACGGTCAAGTACACGCCGCCGGCCCCGGGCCAGTACACCATCATGGTGCTCTTCGCCGACCAGGTGAGACGCAGAAAAAAACAGAGCACCTTAAGAAGTCAAATACAGAGGTACCTTGCAAGGGGGGGAAGGGTTAAGTTTCATGCGCCATGCTCCCGCCAAGTATTTTTGTCGCCTTCAATAAACATCCGGAAGGACACCGGCTCGAGCAGGAGCTGAAGCTTGGAACTAAAATGTTATCTCGTAAAACAACACAAAACCTTGATCGAGGCACAGCTCGTAACTTTAAAAAAATGTCAAAATCAATCAAGGCACCTCATTTACTGTACATGGTGTAGCATCTTTCAGTGTACCCAAGGACACTGAACAATGACTCACGCTGATTTGAAACAAAACCATGCGCCTTCTTTTATTGTTAAAACAGGAAATTCCAATCAGCCCCTTTCGGATAAAAGTGGATCCTTCCCATGACGCGGCCAAAGTGAGAGCAGAAGGACCTGGACTCAACAAATTGGGTCAGCTAATGTAAAGAACAGTTGTCGAATGTCCATTTTATTATTATATAAAGTGTATGTGTGTGTATATGTATGTATATGTATATGTATATATATATATTATTTTTTTGGGATGAACGCCCGCATGAATCACTTGGATGTTTTGTTCCGGCGAAGGTGTAGAAGCAGGAAAGCCAACACACTTCACCATCTACACCAAAGGAGCCGGCAAAGCTCAGCCCGAGGTCCACTTTGGAGGCGGCGCGAAAGGTGACATGGTTCGAGACTTTGAGATCATCGACAACCACGACTACTCGTACACAGTCCGCTACACCGCGACACACCAGGTGAGTTGACCTCTGACTTTGTGAGCATGCATGCATGCGTCTGTCAACGTCCTGTTGTTTTGTCATTCTTCAGGGAAGTTTGTCCATCACCGTCCTCCACGGGGGCGACGCCATTCCCAAAAGTCCATTTCACATCAAAGTGGCTCCACCTCTGGACCTCAGCAAAGTTCTCGTTCACAACCTGAACAACAGTCAGTATAAGTTTTCTTTTTACACGAAATTCTTGCGTAATCATTCGGTCGAGGAACTATGTTGAAATGACTTGAGAAGCTTCATGTAGGTGGGATTTATATATTTTTTTTCGAATCTTAAAAAGGTTTCTTATCTTTGGCAGGAAACAAAAAAACAAAAAAAAAAGCATTTAACAGTTTTGGTCGTGTGTGTGGTGTGCGCAGATAATCTCAGCACAGCTCCCCTCACACACAAAGAATTATGACTCGCATCATTTTGCTTGTCATCGTCCACTGCATGATGCACATTGTGCGGAGATGTATTTTGACATCGGCAATGTGTCAATCAGAGGTGAACGTCGGAAAGGATCAGGAGTTCAGCGTCAGTACTTCGGGCGCCGGCGGTCAGGGCCAACTGGATGTGAAGATCATTTCTCCCTCTCACCGACCGATTCCATGCAAGCTGGAGTCCGGCGCAGCCAATGAGATTCATTCGGTGAGGTACATCCCGTCGGAGGAGGGGCCTTACAGAGTGGAAATCAGCTATGACGGGAACCCCATCCCGGGAAGTCCCTTGGCAGTGGAGGCCACCTTACCCCCCGACCCCTCCAAGGTGAGTTTCCCGTGTGAAGAAGACGGGGGGCTCGTTTCAGGCACATCAACGGCATCCTTCCTGGCCTCACAGGTGCAAGCCTACGGCCCGGGTCTCGAGGGCGGCGTGGTGGGTAAACCGGCCCACTTTGCCATCGACACAAAGGGAGCGGGCACCGGTGGTTTAGGCCTGACAGTGGAGGGTCCCTGCGAGGCCAAGATCGAATGCCAGGACAATGGCGACGGGTCTTGCTCCGTGTCCTACCTGCCCACCGAGCCCGGCGAGTACAACATCAACATCCTGTTCGCTGACCAACACATCCCCGGCTCCCCTTTTAAGGCCGCCGTCCAGTCCCCGTTCGACCCCAGCAGGGTGACGGCCAGCGGGCCCGGTTTGGAGCAGGGGAAAGCCCACCAAGCCGGTTCCTTCCTGGTGGACTGCTCCAAAGCCGGAGAGGCGGAGCTCACCATCGAGATCGTTTCCGAGTCCGGCTCCAAAGCCGAAGTTCACGTGGAGAACAACGGCGACGGAACCTACTCCATCACCTACATCCCGCGATCTCACGGCGCGTACACCATCACCATCAAGTACGGCGGACACCCGGTACCAAATTTCCCCACAGGCCTGCAAGTGGAAGCAGCCCTGGACATCAGCGGCGTCAAGGTCTACGGACCTGGCGTGGAACCCAGGGGTGAGAGAGGACAAATTCTTGCTTCATCCACTCGAGTACTTTTTTTCAGGGGTCCTCGAGGAGCGCGACCTGTTGTCCTTCACGTTCCCGTTCTCCTCACCAGGAGTCCTGAGAGAAGTCACCACACACTTCATCGTGGATGCCAGAAGTGTTTACCAGACGGCCGGCGGCCACGTCAAAGCGTACATTTCCAATCCGTCAGGCGCCAGCACAGACGCCTACATTATGGACAAGGCCGACGGCACGTACCACGTGGAGTACACACCTTTCGAGGACGGTCAGTGACTTGACTCGGTGCCATGACAATGGCACCTGGACTAACGAGTGCCCCAAGTCGCCATTGTTTGCGGGTCGTGTGGACGCTCGGTTCTAGTGCGGGCTTTGTATTTTTTGGCAGGTCTGCATGTCATCGAGGTGTTGCTGGATGATGACACAGTCCCCAAGAGTCCCTTCAGGGTGTCCGTAAGTGAAGGTTGTGACCCAAGTCGAGTTCAGGCCTACGGGCCGGGCCTGCAGGAGGGTCTGGTCAACAAGCAAAACCGCTTTACAGTTGAGACCAGGTAACTCGACCCGACGGTCTCACAAGCTAAGATGAAAGTTTAGAACGTGTTAAAATGTCATTCCTACTAAGTTAAGCTCCCCACTTCCTTCCCGTGTTGCCCTTGTCAGGGGTGCAGGCACCGGGGGCCTTGGCCTAGCCATCGAGGGCCCGTCTGAGGCGAAGATGTCCTGCAAGGACAACAAAGATGGCAGCTGTAGTGTGGAGTACATTCCCTTCACTCCTGGAGAGTACGACGTCAATATCACCTTTGGGGGACTTTCCATTCCAGGTGCAGTCAAGCCTGTTTGGCCCCTCGCCGCGTTCCTTTCTCTGAACTTAAGGTTCATCGTTGCAGGAAGTCCATTTCGAGTCCCTGTGCGAGAGGTGGTGGACCCCACCAAAGTGCGCTGTTCCGGACCGGGCCTCGGAAGCGCCGTTCGTGCTCAGGTCTTTCAGACCTTTACGGTGGACTGCAGCAAGGCCGGCGTAGCCCCGTTGGAGGTCCAGATCTTCGGCCCCACAGGTGAGAAATGTGACACGTAACGAGGTTCACCCCGTCCGTCTGCTGACAACGCGAGTTGTCCAACGTGGCATAGCGTCCAAACATAGGACAACCCTGTCCTGAAGATGAACTTGTTGGTTGCACAGGTGTCACCGAGCCCATCAGCATCTTAGACAACGGTGATGGGACGCATACGGTGAATTACACCCCCGCCAACGACGGCGCTTACACCATCTACATCAAGTACGCCCAGCAGGAGGTCCCTCGGAGGTGAGGAGCGCTCACGACAATCACCGTATCCTCTGATCGAGATGATTTTGAGAGTGGGAACATTTCATTTTCAGTCCGTTCAAGATCAAGACCCTGCCGGCTCACGATGCCAGCAAAGTCCGCGCCAGCGGCCCCGGTCTGAATTCGTCGGGCGTTCCCGCCAGTCTGCCGGTAGAGTTCACCATCGACGCCAGAGATGCCGGCGAAGGACTGCTCACGGTTCAGATCGTGGTGAGACACAAGAAGCACAAAGACAAAAGCCGCGCTTTGACCTTCAGCTAACCACCTAACGTGAGCGCAGAAACGTTGACCGTGAACCCTGTCCGTGTGACCTCCTGTGCCGCCGGCTGCAGGGTCCTGACGGGTGCGGGCACCAGGCTTCCGTGTTTGTGCAGGACTGGCACACGCGTGTCTGGGAATCTCATATAGTCAAGAGAACCATCCCGTTCTCCATTCTTAAGAGAGCCTGTGTAAGGCCAACAACACACACCTACTCTTAGCAACAGCTCCTGCCTGACCTCATCTCATCCGTCCGCCTCGTTCGAGAAGCAAATTGGCATCAGTATCACATGAGCTTAAATTCTCGAGTTCTTCGGGAACTCCGTACTTGGGATCATGGGCTAATTCCTTCATCCATTTGTCTTCATCGCCCCCTCTTCAACACGATCATCATCATCCTCTTCTTCATCACCGCAAACTCGAGTCGTGGCTTGAAAGGTCACATTGCTGCCACCACTGGTCTCAAACGGGAGTGTTGAGCTGATCTACTCATACCCGAGGGATGGTTCTTCGCTGTACGAGCAAAGCAAACTGGCCTTCATCACTTCTTTCACCCGCACTCCTCCTCCTCATTCTAATCCATCACTTGTTCTGGAGAACATACGTTGGTTGGACAGACCGAAAGTGTGACCAAAGCTTGATTGCGCGGGCAGTTTGTAGACCTGTGGTGGGAAGCAGCGGTTGTGTCAGAGTTTGATTGTCTGACTGATTTGGCATTTATCAGGATCCTGAGAGCAAGCCCAAGAAGGCCAACATTCGGGACAACCGCGACGGCACCTACACGGTGTCCTACGTCCCGGACATCGCAGGCCGCTACACCATCACCATCAAGTATGGCGGGGACGAGATCCCGTACTCGCCGTACCGCATCCATGCTGCACCCTCTGGGGACGCCAGCAAGTGTCTCGTCACAGGTCAGACCCCCTCTCGCCATCCACCTGTCCTCCTTTCGTTTTTGGTCCTAATTGGCATCTCGTTGTCCTCCAGTGTCCATCGGAGGACATGGACCAGGTGAGTGTGCGCAACCTCGTTGTTCCCTTGACTGTTTGCTACCTAAGTCTGTGCCCTCGTTGGCCCTCGTTGGTCCTCGGGCTTCCCGATACACCGGAACCTTGACTTTTCATTTCTTCCGCGGCCAAGCTCGTAACTCACTCTACTCGGGTAGCAAATCAATACTCCTCATTGAAACGAAATATGCTCCCGGCAATTCTTTCCCTCTGTTCCTGGCAATTTGCTGGTTACTTTCCACTGCAATTTGGTTTCTAGCCACGGGTCGCCATGTATCTCTTCAACAACTTGACTCTATAAACTCTGAATTCAAAGTGATTTCCCAAAAAGCGCCAAGATGATCTGACCCGACGCGGCATTTATCGCGGCAGGGTCCGGTGTTGGCCCCACCATCCAGATTGGAGAGGAGACGGTCATCACGGTGGATGCCAAGGCTGCCGGGAAAGGCAAGGTCACCTGCAAGGTGTCCACGCCGGACGGGGCGGAACTGGACGTGGACGTGGTGGAAAATGCAGACGGGACGTTTGACATTTACTACACGGCGCCGGAACCCGGGAAGTACGTCATCACCATCCGCTTTGGAGGGGAGCACATCCCCAACAGTCCTTTCCACGTACTGGTGGGTTCCACACAAGCGTGACGTTGCTAACGAACATCCTCTTGGGCATGCACTTGATTGCCTTCGCTGGAGGGCCTCGTGAACAGACTAATCCCTCACGTTGTTGTTGAAGTCTTGTCTTCTTCCCATCAGGCCACTGGCACGGAGCGGAGTGACCTCTGGCCACTTCTTACTAATGAGCCGCATGTCTCTTCTGCATGATTGGCTGCTAAAAGCCACGCCCGTGCGATCCCGAAGGTGGCGCTCTTCGCCACCATGCGTTCATGCGCTCGCCCGCACAAAACACGCCGTCAAGTTCCTTCTGACGTCCACTGGTGTTTGACTCCGCCCCCTCCAGGCGACCAACGATGCCACGGGCTCCATCAATGAGACGGAGGCCGTGCTGCGGCCGTTTAGTCTGGTCATTCCCTTCACTGTGCAGACGGGCGACATCACGGGTGAGCCTGCTTTTCGTTGGACTCTCTGGTGAGTGGGCCGGTGATGATGTCATCACCGTACGCCACGCAGGTGAAGTGCGAATGCCGTCCGGTCGCGCGGCCCAACCACAGATCGTCGACAACAAGGACGGCACCGTCACCGTCAAGTACTCTCCGATCGAGTGCGGCCTGCATGAGATGGACATCAAGTACGAGGGCCAGCACATCTCAGGTACGCCGCTTTCTCACCTTTAACAGCAATCACAATCATGGGCCTACCCGAGACCGTTATCTTTTCTCCACCACCAATGAAAAGATGAGAAATATGAAGGTGCAATGCCGCGAAGACCACAGGGTAGAGAAAGTACCCCCCAAAAAAGTTGTTGAGTAAAATCCTACATGGAGGAGAAGAGCAAGAAACGCTCGGTCCATCAGAGAAGACCTCCGAGTCCTCTCTCGCTAGGAGGTTTGGAAAGGAAGAAAACAAAAAAAAAAAAAAAACAATTTGTGACCTCCCCGTCCACTGCAGGAAGTCCGCTTCAGTTCTTTGTGGATGCCGTGAATAGCGGTCACGTGACAGCGTACGGCCCGGGTTTGAGCCACGGTGTGGCCGGCTCGCCAGCCACCTTCACCATCGCTACCAAGGACGCCGGAGAAGGTAAGACGGTGGGAGACCTTCATCAAACTTCAGCAACCCGCCGTCTCTAACCTCCTCACTGTGAGAAGTGTCGAATGGATGAATTGCGTTTGCAATGACTGACTCCCGACGGTCCGCTTGGGCACAGGCGGTTTGTCTCTGGCAGTGGAAGGACCATCCAAAGCCGAAATCAGCTGCAAGGACAACAAAGATGGCACCTGCACTGTTTCCTACCTGCCCACAGCGCCTGGCGATTACATTATCATCGTCAAGTTTGATGACCAGCACATTGCCGGCAGTCCGTTCACCGCCAAGATCACCGGTACAAAGAGTGACGCGCTTGTTGATTGGCGGCCTTTCCCCTTGGGCCCGGTTCTGAAGCTCGTGTGCCGGTGACCCCAGGCAACGACCCTCTCGCCATGTCTCAGCTCAACGTCGGCACGGCGACCGACGTCTCCTTGAGGATCGTGGAGACGGACCTGGGCAGTCTGACGGCGACCATTCAAGCGCCATCGGGAAGCGAAGAGGCATGCCTGCTGAAGAGACTCCCCAACAGACACATTGGTATGTCCGCTAACCGGTTCTTACAAGGTGTCATGGAAAAAGAAAGACCGTTTGGCCGCTCACTGTTCTTTTCTCCCCCGTTCAGGCATCTCGTTCACACCCAAGGAAGTGGGCGAGCACGTGGTGAGCGTGAAGAAGGGCGGCAAGCACGTGACCAACAGCCCATTCAAGATCATGGTGGCGCAGTCCGAGATCGGGGATGCCAGCAAGGTGAAAGTGTTCGGGCCGGGACTGCTGGAGGGACGCACCTTCGAGGTGGCCCACTTCATCGTCGACACGAGGACCGCCGGTACGTCGAAATCGCCCACCCCTTTCCTGCACTTGCTAAGCGGGCGTGTGTTGCGGCAGGCTACGGAGGTCTGGGTCTATCCATCGAGGGTCCCAGCAAGGTGGACATCAACTGCGAGGACGTGGAGGACGGCACGTGCCGCGTCACTTACTGTCCCAGTGAGCCCGGAAACTACATCATCAACATCAAGTTTGCCAACCAGCACGTCCCAGGTAGAGAATGCAAGCGGCTATCACCAAGTGGAAAGCGACAGTTGTTGATGGCCTCCTAGCCATTGGAACGGAACAAACGATCAAAAATGACAAATGAAACACAAGCGACACGGAGGAGACACTAACACTGAACTATCCGTGTGCTCAATGGCAAAGCCGAGTCTTCCGTCAGAGCCGTGACTTCTTCCTGCGTGTGTTTCCACGGCAACAGGAAGTCCTTTCACCGTCAAAGTGTTTGGTGAGGGCAGGATGAAGGAGAGCATCACCAGGAAGCGGCAGGCGCCCGCCATTGCCACCGTGGGAAGCACATGTGACCTTGACCTCAAGATCCCGGGTAAGCTGTGACACGACTGGCTCTGCTCCACCAACTGCCTGGACCTTGATTTGACTTTTCGGGGAAAATGTATCCCAAGTAAAATACAGATGCGTGAAATCTCCACTTCAGTAAAGCAACAAAGGATTTGTACTCTGTGGCTGACCTCGCCCGCGTTCCACAGGCAACTGGTTTCAAATGGTTTCGGCGCAGGAGCGGGCGACTCGCACGTTCACGCGTAGCAGCCACACCTACACGCGCACCGAGCGCACAGAGATCAGCAAGACCCGTGGCGGCGAGACCAAGCGAGAGGTCCGCGTGGAGGAGAGCACGCAAGTTGGAGACCCCTTTCGGGACGTCTTTGGAGACTTCATGGGGCGGGAAAGTCTGAGCGGCTTTGGCGGAAAGTCGCCACCGCAGGATGGTACGTGAGACGACTGAGGGCCAAGGGGAGGGGAAAAACGGTTGACTCTTCATTGTCGGTTCCAATTGTGGATCCGTTCTCCTGATAGTATTTCGGCCACCGCTGATTAAAAAAAAAGATCTTCGCGTTGTCCTCTAAGCTGGAAAAGGTTTCCCTCCCTCAGGTGAGCCGGCCCACCAAGAGATGGCGGCTCAGGTGACCAGTCCCGGTGGCAAGTGTCAGGACGCCGAGATCATCCGCGGCGAGGATAGCACGTACAGCGTCCGCTTCGTGCCACAGGAAATGGGCGCTCACGTGGTGGAGGTCAAGTATCGCGGACAACATGTTCCCGGGAGCCCCTTCCAGTTCACCGTGGGCCCCTTGGGAGAGGGCGGCGCCCACAAGGTGCGGGCCGGCGGCACCGGGCTGGAACGGGGCGTGGCCAGCGTCCCAGCCGAGTTCAGCATCTGGACCAGAGAGGCGGGGGCCGGCGGGCTCTCCATCGCAGTGGAGGGTCCCAGCAAGGCAGAGATTGCCTTTGAGGACCGCAAGGACGGTTCCTGCGGCGTCTCCTATGTGGTCCAAGAGCCCGGTTCGACGCTCTTCCCGTCAAGCGCAACCTCCCCCAATTTGGTCTTCATCCGCTCATCTTCCTCTGCTCTCCCCCCTCGCCAGGAGACTACGAGGTTTCCATCAAGTTCAATGACGAGCATATCCCAGACTCGCCCTTCGTCGTCCCCGTGGCCGGTTTGTCGGACGGGGCCCGCCGCCTCACCATCACCAGCCTTCAGGTGAGACGCCAAGCCTTTCGCAAGGTTTTTCAGGACCGGTCAGCTTGAAGCAATCCATTTTCTGCCGCGGGGAAAGATGGTGGCGCGCGTTGTTTCTGAACCTTCTGAAATGCTCTTTAGCCTAGCCTGTCAGCATGGTGCCGGTGTCCCCTAGGATTCTGGACTCAAGGTGAACCAGGAAGCGTCCTTTGCGGTGCAGCTGAACGGAGCTCGAGGCGTCATCGACGCCAAGATCCACGCGCCTTCCGGAGCCACGGAGGAATGTTTGATCAGCCAGCTGGACGGCGGTAAGATGTCTGCCTCCGCTTTTGGGGGGACCACGCCCTTCAGAATCCATCCCGAAAGAAATGACCGTGTGCGTCGGCAGATCGGTACGCCATTCGGTTCGTCCCCAAAGAGAACGGCGTCCACTCCATCGACGTCCGATTCGGTGATAGCCACGTGCCCGGAAGCCCCTTCAAAATTCGCGTGGGGGAGCCCGGTCAGGCGGGAGACCCCAGCAAGGTGTCGGCTTCGGGGCCCGGCCTGGAAAGGGGGATCACAGGTGAGCAAGAAGTCGAGTAAAGTCATGACAGTGCTCGGATCAGTCAAGTCCCAAATCTTCAAGTCCGCCTCGTGGTTTGTCCCTGGCAGGGGTCGCGTCAGAGTTCACGGTGAACACGTGTAAGGCCGGCAGTGGAGCTCTGTCCGTGACCATCGACGGTCCCTCCAAAGTCCAGATGAGCTGCCAGGAATGTACCGAAGGCTACCTGGTGTCCTACACCCCAATGGCTCCCGGGAGCTACCTGATCTCCGTCAAGTACGCGGGAGCGCAGCACATCGTCGGCAGCCCCTTCAAGGCCAAAGTCTCAGGTGGGCTTGGACCACAACGCCAGCTAGAGCTGTCCCTCATCTCATGGAGCAGGCGAGACATTTTCAGACGACTGCTTTACTTTATTTGCAGATTCGTACCATCAGACAACGCGCGCACAAAGAAAATCACCTCTCCCCGCTTGCCAATGGAGCTAATCTAAGATTCAAAATGTCATCTTCGGTTTTTCTTTCCGTTACTTTGGTCTGTTGTGGCCGTTTCCTTGAGGTTCGGGACTCTTTGTATATCCCGAAGCTCCTCCATCCCGAGTCTTGGAGCTCATTGGGACAAAATTCTAGGACATCACCTCAAGAAAGGCTATCTGAAGAAGCCTTGGAGAGATGATGACGTGCCATTTATACCCCCCCCCCCCCCCTCCCAGCCAGGTGTTCTTTTAGCCACAATAAA